ATTACATGGAAGTGAAGTTCAAATTCCAGGTCAATAAAAGCAATCAATAGATACGTGAATTAACAACCAATCACGACAAAGATTGTCAGGAGGTACAATTATCTCATTCATGGAAATTTCGAATAGGTTCACTTCATACTAAAACCTACTCTGAAGATGTTGTTTAGAAGGGGGATAACTAACGCTTCGCAATGAAATTACCCATCTCAGGGAATATAACTAAATCAAAATCATCCACCCCTGAGCTACAAATCTTCTCCATTAGTTCTGTTATCTTAATCTCATTTGCTTCTGTATTCTGATAAGTACTTATCGAAAGACAGATTTCAAACTTGGATGAATTCTGACTGTAACCTTATCGAATTGTGGAGCGTCGGTGTACGAACTAACGCCCTAGATTTCAAATTTATTTTGTAGTATTCATCATGTCAAGTACAAATAGCAAGTACAAAAACTCAACCATACCCAACTTAGCTCGTGTTCTGTGCGATAAAGAAAGCATTAGGCGTGATACCTATAACTTATTAAATAGTCAGTAGAACAACTGGATCTCGTCTTTCCAACTCATATCATTTATAGGTACAACGTTTTTTTCTTTCTTTTCTCTCTTTTTTCCTTTTCTGTTATGTGCTGCTTTGTTTCTTTCTTCCTTACGAACTCTACTTAAAACATTCTTCTTCGTTCTTTCATACTCTGTATATCTCAACCTTTTTGTTACAGCTTATGCCAGTAAATATGCTAGTATCTACTTTTTTAACACCACACATTCGGTTCACTTTTGGCTTTGCTACCGACATGCCAATATGTTGTTGTCAAAACTAACTGAGATTACCCTTAATCTGTGTAGAATTTTATTTGTTGTTAATGTACTAACTGGATGCAATACTGTAGTAAAATGCTGAGAATTCCATTATGTATCACAAGTGCTGTTTTGGAATAAAGCAAATTTATTATTATTATTATGTCAACTTTATAATAGTAGTCTTTTCCCTCCGTTGGCTATCAAAGTTAAAATAAAACGTTATTAGAAATGAATGACATGGATACGATTGAACTCTATTGTCAGTTTTGTTTAAGCCTTGGGTGTATTTCTAGTATTCCTCTGGTTATCTCTTAATTTTCTGTGTTTCGTTGACTGTAGAGGTTTGTTCTTGTCTATTCTAACTTTATTGATTGTTGGAAACTAGAATCACTTTGATTATTGGATATTATTTTGTTTAAGGTTTCATGTTTTATCTTTTCTATAGAGAGATATACCGATGCGATAGTTACATTTATGTCAAGAACCTCATTGATAGTGTAGAGAAATCATGCTTTTATGCTGTAGTGAAAAAGTGTTTCTGCTTTTATCTGAGCGTATTTTTAGATGCGCTTTTGCAGTTATTATAAGAGTGATCATCAAATGACCTCATTTAAAGAACCATTGAAAATCAGGGAGTGCTGGAGAACTGTTTCGTCTTTTTGTTTGGGACTTTTCTGTTCACGTCTCTGTTGGTTGCCTCATATCTTGCTGAATTCTGGGAAAATTTTTCCCTTGACTTATCACATAGAAAAGTTGAGACTTTTTACTGGCATAACTCAATCCTTTATTAATTGATGTACTCTGCCCTGACTAATTGACTGACTGCTTTCAGCGGAGAACTTTGCACAGATGTGCAGCAGCTCGAGTTGCCACTCTCCTTCCATGTAGCTCACAAAGCACGAGAAGAGAGTAAAGAGAGATAGTAAATAGAAGTGTGAGGCAAAATATGTTATAATGCAGTAATGTGGAAGAACAATATAGTTTTATTGGATATTATAAATCACAAGGAGTGAATGTATCTGCGCCAGCCGTTCAGAACGATTTTCATCCATATCACCAATTGTCTCAAGCCTTCATTGGTTTCTACCGTCCCGAGGACCCCAACCAGTCAGGAAGTCTACACCTCCCTACGTGGCTGGATGGCTAGCAATAACTGTTGTGGATTTCATTGACTGATGAAACCATGTTTTGGTTTGACCACCGATGGCTATTTTGCAACCTGATCCTACGTCAGATAACATTGCCTGTCGAGAAAGGCAATGGCTAGTCATCCGTAACACTTGTCCTAGTTATCTCAGTCGATATAGCTTCACAACCTCATCAATAGACTTCTCCTTCTTACTTAACACTCGATGCCTGATGTCAATATTCTCACCTTATTATGCCACTTCACACGGGAGATAGAACGCAGACACCTATGATCAACGCAGCCTTTTCATGTCTTTCACTTTCAATGACTGTGTCTCAATGACAGTCATATAGGAGGACGGAGCGAACCGCTGAGCAGTACACACGTCCTTTGGTCGACAGTCAACCGGATATCACGTCTAACGCCAGAGATGGCGTAAGTTAGCAGCCAAATGCCGAACGAGCCCTTTGTATCCATGCTGAGATTTCATCAGTGATCAACCCGTTGGTGATGAAATTAAATAGAGATGGAGATAGTGGGCATCCTTGACGGACACCACTGGTTGTCACCACTTCAGATGACAACTCTCCGTAAGCTCTCACCTGTTTACATGAGTTCGAGTAGAGTGCCTTGATCAGTGCGATGTATTTACCCGGTATTCCCTTCACACTCAAACATCGCCATGGTACCTCTCGGTTGACGGAATCGAACGCCGCTTTCACGTCTACTTTATTGTTCCTCCCTATTCTTCCTTGGGCTTTTGAAGAAGGACTATGTCATAATACGTAGAGCATTGAACGCTGCAAGCAAGCAGGCTTGGTGGTGTACTTTTGACTCCAACCAACTGATATTGTCATCGATAGGCATTTTATTCCTACAAGCGATTGGCTAAAGCCATCTAACCCGATACCGAACATCCTCTTTATTCGCAAGTTTCTCCCTGTATCTCTTCGGATAAAAAAGAGAAGAATAGCTCTTTAGAATTTATGCTAGTACAACAAAATATAAAAATTCAACCACACCATAATTTGGCACGGGTGTTGTGTGTGAAGAGAGAGTCAGATGTCAGAAAAGAGCTTATAAACTGTTCAAATCAGTGACCGAAATGCAAATTATAACAAGAATTATTGTTGCTTATAGTATTTATTATATTATTTATTTATTGTTCATTATATTCCACTAACTTTCGGATTTTGTGGATTTATTATTTTTACTATTTGATTTATTTACATATTTATGAAAGGAGCTGAGCTGTTTCAATATGCATAAAAACGCTGAAAATTCCATTCTGCATGATTATAATTGTTTGGAATAAAGTGATTATTATTAGTATTATTATTGCTCAACCATATAACCTTGGGCCTTCCCAGGTGTCAAGACAAGCTGGTTGACCATCCAGCCACTGAAAGATACACAGTAGGTGTGGCTCCTTGTCAATTACATGGAATCGCAAGTGTTTGTCAAGTAAACTATTTCTTTTTAGGTGTTAGTTTGTAAAGACTTGATTAGTTTCAAGTTTGATCACGGATGGATATCGGCTAGAGAACCATTGGCTGTCGGTGTCACTGGCTGTGAAAATCGTGAACTAACAGAAGTTATAATTCCATTTCAGCGGCTGAGAATGGACAGTGGGTTCGCTCGGTAACGTGAAAGTTCTTGATCGGGTACCCGGTGGAGTCATGGGTGCGTACTGAGTAAGAGTCCTGAACAAAGACAAGACAGGTGTCCAGTACTCCCTGGTTTCCAATGGTTTTGTAAATGAAGTTATTTTACAATGATCCTTGAAATCAATCGAATCCCTGCAAACCATAGCTTGAAAGTGGTACTATGAATATGAAGTGTTGGTTCGCAGGGATTTGATTGGTCACAATTTGGTCTTGAGTTGGCATTAGTTATAAAATTACTGCAAAACCACCTGGGAGTTCTGGACAGCTGTTTCATCTTCAATATTTGGGACTCTTCAGCGGTACACACCCACCGGGGATCGTGATCAAACATATTACCAATCAAATCCCTTTAAACTTAATCTGATGCTCGCTAGTGACTGATTCTAGAGGCTGAAGTCGCCTGGAGTCCTAGTGAAAAGTCATGACCAGTGGGGTCCACCAATTCAGGTAGGAGAATAGTTACTCACTTATGCCATTGGCTGGCAGTTGTCGTGATTTGGCTGAAGTTCGAATTCATGGGGCATTAAATACTGTCCTAGTGGCTAAAAGGTCTACAAGCTTGACTTGTGGCTGAGAAAGCCTGGGTTCGAACCCCAGCGGTGGGTGCATGCTGTTGAAGAGTCCCAAACTAGGACGAACTGCTAGATAGTACTATAAACCACCAATCGTATTCGTAGACTGAAGAATATATGAGTTAGTGAGAACTAAGCTCACCTATTTTCGGTTATTTTAGCCATCAACTTCGTAGTTTTGGAGTATAGGATATTTGTAACTGTTTATATTACATATTGCTAAATATTTATGGTTGAGTTTGTAAATTTTCTGATAAGGTTTTCGTCTATTGTGCTGCTGTTTTACTGGGAAGAGCTTTCAGCATCATTGAAGCTTTGCAAATTAAGTTTCATGCATTTAATAGTATAGTATAGTAATGTAACGACAGAAGACCAAGGGCCAGGCAACAGATTGTTTATTGAGAAATCAAGGGATATTTATAGACTTTTATGTACATTATTATTAGCGTTATTGTTAGCGGAGAACCAACGTCTTCTGATTGGTTGTTTTCTTGTTGAAGGTTATTCTGTATACCTTGTGACCGTATCCTCCCACGCTAAATCTGCTGTGATTGGTTGTTGAGTTCCTGAAGGTTAGGCTTTGATCTTGTTTCTTGTCATGATCCCTATTCGGGATGTAAACATAGACGTAAATTGTTGTTTACATTTTGGCTTGTAGGCAGCTGTCACTACAGTAAGATCTTTCAGTACTCTTTTCATAGTCTTGCTCATTAAGGCAAAGGTTCATTTTTTAATGTTATATAATAAATTTCTATCTTGGATACATTTTCTTACAACTAATCAGTGTCAATATCAATTATTATTATTATTATTTATAACTATCTCTTTAGAAATTTTCACCATGTAGCCTACGAACAATTGGTGCTTGTTTAGTTAATCGTGCTCCATTGTGTTTCGATGATTCATCATCAGTGGCTTTTTCAAATCTCTGCGGTAATAGTCGTATTGATGAAGGTGAAGAATGTGATGCTGGTCGAAATCCACATGATCGTTGTTGTAGCTCGGATTGTTTACTTAGAGAGGGTGCTCGTTGTTCACCATGGAATCATGCTTGTTGTACTTCTGGTAAGATTTTCATTCACACATTTTGATTAAATATAATTCTATCATTGATAATAACATGTAAAAAAGAATTCCTTTTTCATTGTTATTGTGCGTCTAATTGCTCACATTTTGATGCTGTGTAGTTGTGGATGATTAAAAGGATAGGGAATACCTTGAATTGGAGTATACTCTGTATTCTATTGTACCTAACGCTTAATCCAGTCTAATCAGGTATAGTTGGTAGTTATGATTATTATTTCCTTTAATTCCTAGAGGAACATAGGGCTTCAGCCGCGCGTCTCCATTGCGTTCGGTTCTCTGCTCGAGTTTTCACCTGGCTCCAAATCCGCCCACATGCTTTCATCTCATCTTCACATGACCTCCTCCAAGCCACCCTTGGACGACCAACTCGCCGCTTCCCTTTCGGGTTCCACTCGAGGGCTTGTCTAGTGATTTCACTTGATGGTTTGTTTTCTCAGAGTATGGCCAATCCACCTCCATTTCTTCCTGCATATTTGTTTCACAATCGGTTCCTGCTGGGTTGGTTCACTCCCAGAGATCCCTGTTGCTGATCTTTTTTGGCCGGCCATCTGATCTTGAGGAGTAGTGAGCAAAGACAGCTGTTGATGAAGGTCTGTAGTTTGTTTGAGGTGCTCTTTATGACGTGCAGTGCAAGTCTCTGATCCGTATAGTAGCGCTGACTTGACATTGGAGTTGAAAATCCTGATCTTATTTTTCATACTGAGTACTGTTGACCTCCATACAGTCTTGAGAGTAATGAAAGCTTGTCTTGCTTTTCCGTTTCTTGCTTTGATATCCTCGTCAGTTCCGTCCGCCTGTAGTTGAAACGACGCTTCCCAGGTAGGTAGGTAGGTAAAGGAGGTTGCTTCTTTCAGGTTCCTCCCATTTATGCTGATTGTTGTTGTTGCTGCTGTTGGTGTTGCCCAGGAATCTTCATCACTTCTGTTTTCTCTATGTTTACTTGGAGTCCTATCTTCGAAGCCGCCTCTGCCAACTTGTTGCTTTCCACTTGGATATGTTCTAGTTTGTGAAAAATCAGACATATATCATCGGTGAAGTCCAGATCCTCCAAGTTTTTTGTGTGGGTCCATTCCATGCCTCTCTCCTCACTGCCCGCTGTCTGTCTCATTATCCAGTCTACTGCAATCAGGAAAATCATTGGCGATAGATAGTTGGTAGTGTATATATTTTTAATTCGATTTTGATTAATTGAACTGAAAGGTTCAGCCTCTGTTGACATATTGGTGGATGGTGTCTAGCAGTGGAATCCAGGTTGCACCACATGTAATCCTGTTTGGGACTAGTCAGCTGGATATGTGGCATGTGCTACTGATACGACTTACCAGTAGTATATAAAGAGACGTTCGTCAGCATAAAAACATCAAATAGCGGAGAGATAAATTTGACATCAGAGAAAGCAAATAATTCAGCGTTGTGGAGAGACATGGGAGACGTGAAAGGGACAGAAAGAAACACATCATGAAGGTCAGAAATAGCACAACACGGAAGAACTGTGCAAATGGTGATTTGAAGATTAGGTGTATAGAATTTCGTTGTATAGCGACACCCGATTCCTTCCCCAAGTCTCTTGTCTTCTACCACCACAGTTGGTGTCGCTGCCTCCAGAAAATGAAGATTCCATGACTGGTTGCTTTCGAGGAAGGAGATATACGGAGCTTCCCGCGGGGCTTTGAGGCCGTCGCTGAGTTAGTGGGCATCGGGGATCCGACGACAAAGGTGGTTGTGCTGGGGACGCTGCTGAGAGGTCAAGAGAAGGCGGCGTACGACAGTGTGGAGCGGTCAGGTGGGACGGAGACCTGGAAGCTGTCGGTCGAACGATTGGTGGCGGAGTTCGACAGCCCGATGGACAGGCAGCTGGCGATGCAGTAGTTCTGTGCGGCGAAGCTGGGACCGGACGAGGACCCTCTAGTGTTGGTGGTGAAGCTGACGAATCTGCTACGTTGTGCATTCCTCACATTGAATGGAGAGTCGGAGTCGCAGTTATTGACGTCCCAGTTCATTCAGAGTCTCCTAGGTCACATTTCTAAGTAACTAAAACTGGCTAACGCGGTACAACTCATGGACATTGGTCAGCTAGCGAAAGCGACGAGACAGCTGTTGAGTACAACGGTAGCCGCAATAGAGCCACCGAAATTGCACGAATGGGAACAGAAAGTGTAAGATTTGTAGCGTGAAGTAGCGGCACTATGAATGAGTGCCAGGAAAGACCGATTTTTTGAATGTGGCAAAGCAGGGCACCGGAGGAGGCAGAAAAGATTTCAGACAATATAATGTGTTCTTTTTCTTCTGTCAGACTAGAAGTAGTGGGGACTATTGCGATGGGGGCAATGTATTCTAAATTGTGAGTGAATAGCTGGGAATTCGTACGTCTGACATATACAGGGGCGATAGTCTCACTAATAGATGGCAAGCCACGTAGAACGTAAGACCGTGTTCATTGACAGTTCAAACGGTTGGTGGACACGTGTTAAGCATTGCCGGTATGTAAAACTCTAGCGTTTTTTATTGGCAATCGCGAAGTTATTTTCCCGTTCATTGTTGTGCCCGAGTTATGGCGAACAATACTTGGCGCTGATTTTCTGCGAAAGGTCGGTTCGGTAATTAGCACGAAGGAGAGGGCAGTGATTACGAAGTGCGTACCTATCAGCATGTATGAGAGAAGCGGGATAGCAGGGGTTGAGGCGTCGAAAGCACAGAATATGACAGTGTTAGGTAAAGAGTACGATCATATGTTCATTGGAGATGGGGACGCCTACAGTTATTGTGATAAGGTGAGGCATGAAGTCCCACTGAGCGGTTGGAAAATGGCACCATTCACAACGCGAAGAGTCCTATATCATTTAGAAGGAGAAGTTAAGCGGTAGGTGAAAGAAATATCACAGGATAATATTATTGAAGTAATTGACAGCCCGTATAACTCCAGTAGTACACACCAAAGATGTACCTGCACCCCGCAGTAGGTGATGGTTTTCCCACTGACACCCAAACTCAGCATCAAACTCTTAAGCGTTATCCACCAGACCACTTGGGCCAAGAGAGCCACCTCTTGTTCAACTGGCGCCAGTTATTATTTGTTTTTAATTCAATTTTGGCTCACCCGTTGATTGTTTGTACCGAAGTGTTCCTCACCCGTTGCACAAAAAGGTAGCTCTTTTGGCCCAGTTGGTCTGGTGGATAATTCTTTGGTGTTTGAATCTATAGGCACTGAAATCCAGGCTCATTGGAAACGCCATCACTCACTGGGGAATGTAAGCACATCCACTTGCTGATGAATCTCAAATAAGACGAAATATTCATCCACTGGATTCCACTGCTAGTTACCATCCATCCACCAAATTAATACCTCTATTACTTCATTTCAAATTACTGTATTACCACTTTCCATTAACCACATTGTATTATTTGATTAGTTGCTTATGAATTAAACAATTTTGTGGAGTGATAAAATAAGCTAGTTGTTTTCTAAACAACCATTGTTACACTTCTTTTACTCTTATAGATTGCCAGTATGCATCGAATAATACTATTTGTGCACAGACCAACAAAGCTAATCCGTGTTTAGGACCTGGTCAGTGTAATGGTTTATCGCCTATTTGTCCTGGTCCAAAATTATTATCTACTGGTCATTGTGATGAATATGGTTGGTGTTATGAGGGCCAGTGTCATCCATTCTGTGATAGTCTTGGTTTAGAGACTTGTATTTGTGATGCAGGTGAGTTATGTTATACGTATATCTGTGATTTGAATTTTAATGAGACTTCGATTGATGTTGTCAATCTAACTTTCGTATATTCATGGAGATGAAGTAATTGTCTGTCTGTCTGGATTCAACATAGAACTGTCAAGGATTTCATGGATTGATGCCATGTTTTTGTTTGGCCACCACTTACTCTTTTCCAACCTGCACCTATATCAGCTAGTAATGCCCGTCCGTCGGGGGAGGCGATGGTTAGGCATGCGCAGCACGTGACCTAGCCATCTCAATCTATGTAACTTTATAGCCTCTTCGATTGATTTTCCCTCTTTACCCAACACTCTACGCCTAACGTCAACATTACTTACCTTATTATACCACCTAACGTGAGAAAGAGATCGTAGACATCTATGATCAAAAACAGTCAACCTTTTCATGTCTTCAACTCGTATTGGTCATGTTTCAGAGCCATAGAGAAGGACGGAGTGAACTGCTGAGCAGTACACACGTCCTTTGATTGATAGCTGGATGTCACGCCTACGCCAGAGATGGTGTAAGTTAGCGAAAGCAGCTCGAGCTTTTTGGATCCGTGCTGAGATTTCGTTGGTGCTGATACAACTTCCCAAATAGGTGAAGTGGTCAACATGTTCTATCACTTCACTCCGTATCACTAAGCTAGGAGTTGACGTAGTCCAGTCATTGCTGTAGCAGCATCTTGCATTTTACAGGGGCGAATCGCATGCTAAACATACGAAGATTGCTGCTCAAGGTGTTCAGAAGACTCTGCATTTTGTCAGCATCCTCCCATAACAGGACTATGTCATCTGCATATTCTAAGTCCATCAGACTATTCCCTGGTAACAAGTCGATTCCTAAGTCGTTAAGTTCAGTTAAGGATACTAGATAAAGTAATTGAGTAAATATATGTATTTTTTTATGGTCAATATTCTGAAGGAACCTAATCTTTTGTAGTGATTTCGAATAGTGAAATCACGGGCACGTCAAATAAGCCTACATAACAAATTGGAAGATTGACATAGTCAGTTTAGCGAGTAGATTGACATAACGATTTATTTTATAAGAATTCGAAGAGTTAATAAACGAAGTTTTTGAGCAGAGTAAATTACAACATAATGAAAGTTAAATTGTGGGGTGACAATATCCTAGCTCAAAATGGATGCCCTGAACCTGTCGTGGGGATGAATATGAAACCAAAGTCAAGAAGAGAAGAATGCACTTCAGTACCAAAGAAAAGACTATACTTGAATTTGGACTTCAGAAGAGACTTAGCTGCAGATATCCTTAAAAGGGAGAATTTCCAGTTCCTTAAAGAAAACCTTTCCTGCAGGAACTCTAAGAGTGATATTCTCCAGTCGTCTATTGTTTCTAAGCAATGTGAAGGACAAATTTCCGCGTATAACCACTTCAATGTACGTATATCAGTTCACCTGTTCGTGCGCAGCTAGGTATGTAGGTCGTTCTATGCATGTCCTTTCAAAACGTCTTAGAGAACATTACTCAGCATGCCTACAAAGAAGAGTCACCGGTTCACTCCGAAGCCCCTAATTGAATACCTGGTCAATACGCGTCACGGCATCTCAACTGATTCATCGTTCGGAGTCATTTACATAGTAGAAAAATCTACCAAAGGCAGTGTGTATCCGACTTGCTTGTACTATAGAAGCCCTCGCCATATGTATCGGAAAGCCGGAACTACGTGTTCAAAAGAAACTAGGCCAACCTCTACATTTATCATGGATCTAGTTCATTTTGACTTACGAGACTTAATTGTTTTCGTATTTAGTTATAAAAAAAACTATTATCTCAATTTGTTTCTATGTTCGCCCAGTTTACATCTGTATTCGTTTGAAAACTATTTGACATATAACGCAACTATTTTCTATTCCTGTGTAATTTTGTTTTCAAATCCCTTGTTATCCATATTCACACGTGTAAACTTTCATATTAAGTTGAAAATTATTACCATCTCTGATCTCCCCCTTCGTTATTATGTGGAATTAAATAATAATTGTATCTATGCAAATTTAAGTTTATGAGTACGATTATACAGCTGCTTTTGAGAATAAAATCGCCGAAAAATAGATATCTGTTTGGTGAACTTCTCGTTCTTTGCCCATAATGATAATTTTCGGGTCTTAGTTATATTATTATTATTGTTCTTTTGGGTTCCTAGTGGAACATAGGGTTTCAACTGCACGTCTCCACTTGCTTCTGTCTTCTACTGTACTTTTCACCTGCATCCATGTTATTCCATACTGTTTCATCTCCTCCTCACACGATCTCCTCCATGTCACCCTTGGACGTCCCACTCGCCGCTTCCCTTTCGGGTTCCACTCGAGCGATGGCCTGACGCGCGATGTCACCCAGTGGCCTCCTCAGCGAGTGTCCAATCCATCTCCACTTTCTCCTGCATATTTGTTGGGCGATTGGTTCTTGTTTCGTTTGTTCCCATAGTTTCTTGTTGGTGATTCTTTCCGGCCGGCCATCTGATCTTGAGTTTAGAACGAAGACAGTTGTTGATGAAGGTCTGCAACAGGCTGTTGGAAATATTCTTGGTGACCCGCCAAGTTTCTGATCCGTATAGAAGAACTGACTGACTTGAGGTTTGTATTGGAAATCCGAATTTTGTTGTTGATGCAGGCTGAGTGACGAAGATTTCCAGATTGGTTTCAGGTTGATGAATGTGTTTCTCGCCTTCCGGATTCTCGATTTGACATCCTCGTCCGTTCCTCCTGTAGTTGAGACAATGCTCCCTAGATAAGTTAGTTAGTGCTCATTAATTTATTTTCACTCCTTTGAGTTCCAGGTGAAGCATAGGGGTTCAAGCTTTTAAATTCCATTAACTGTGTACTATTTTTACTTTCTGGAGTTGTTAGCTTCACTCATAACCTTCCCTCTTTTGTGGGCAAGGTTTAAGAGTATGTCAACCGGGAATCGAACCCGGATCCACTGCGTGGTTGGTGAACTATTCTAATGTTGAGACACCGACCGAAATAAGGTATAAATAAAAATTGAAACTAGAAATGTGGCAACATAAAGACGTACTCCAAGCGTCCATCATTTTACGGGATTATAGTGTAGGTGAACAACATAACGAAGTAAAAGCCGGTAGAATTTTTCTGCATACATAGTTTCATTTTAATGGTTATATAGCCTGTCATTTTTTCGGGAGACGAGTTCATACCGCTTATGATTGGTGCGTTGAGAACTGTGTGATAGCCAAATTCATAGACAACAATTTACGTCAATGTTTACTTCCAAAATCTTGGTGATGCGAAAAACAAGAACAAAGACTTTGCGTGGACGGATACGATTCGCAGATATGTGGTCTGACCTTCAAGGAAACAGCCTCAAAGAGATGATAGATTAACTTTCAGGGAGAGAACAACCAATCGGAAGACATTGTTTCTCTGCTAGTGTGTCGGTGGCACAGCGGTTAGGACGCTCGCCGACCATGCAGTGGTTCAATCCCCTGCCGACGCATACTTGATATCAATAGTCAGCCTGCAAAATTGGGCTACCGATATCACATATGCTGAAAATTCCATACTTGTACCAAAAATACGGTGTGGAATCAAGCTATAATCAAAAATAAAAAAAAATAGTAATAACGAGTAATAATGTACATAAAAACATAATCTCTTGATTTTCTCATTAAACGATCTGTTGCTTGGTCCTTGTCTTCTGTCGTTACAACGGTTCATATTACAGTCATCTACAGTAAAGTATATCCGGTAAACTTCAATATATGTCCTAAAAAAGGCAAACTATCCATAAGGAACGCGATAGCTGCAGTAACCAGAGTATATATAACTGATAAGTGGATAAGTTTGGTCAAACATCAAAATGTCATGTGTCTCTAAAGTTTCCTCTTCGAGTGATGGACATCACAAAACAAAAACCGCTTTGATTTTATTTCATACTGCATCTATAGGTTCATTTTCGGTTATACAGACATATTTAAAAACTGATCACAGATTGATGTCAGTTAGAGAACCCTTGAAAACTAGCTGAGAGTACTGGACAGCTGTTTTGTCCTAGTTAGTGACTCATTAGAAGTACACACCTACCGCCAGGGTTCGGATCCAGGATTTTTCGGTTACAAGGTGAGCTTGTGGAGAAATTCAGCCACTGGGACCCGATACAATGACCCATGAATTTTGATTTCTATCAATTAGTGATTTCAGCGCTACCAACAGCCAATATCATCGGTTAGCCTAGCCATCGCCTTCCCCGACGGGAAATGTTAACTGACATAGGCTCAGGTTGGAAAAGAGACAGTGGTGGTCAAACCAAAACATTCCTTCATAAGTCAATGAAGTCCACAACAGTTAGTTTAAGTCACGTAGGAATGTGTAAACTTCTTGGTTGAGGTCGCCGGGATGGTAAAACCCATTGAAGGCTGGAGACAATTGGTGATATGGTTGAAAATCGTTCTCAATGGCTGACGCAGATGCATCCACTCTTTGTGACTTATAATATCCAATGAAACTATATTGTTTTTCTATATTACTATTCTTTTTGCCTCATCTCTGTTTTGAATCTCTTTTTACTTTCTTCTCTTGCTTTGTGTGCTAAGTGAAGTGTGGTGACTCGAACTGCTGCCTATCTGTGCAAAGTTCTATGTTGAGACTCATCAGTCTGTCAGTCAGCCGGTCGATACCATCGGCGAGTATCCTGTCCTGATTGTTGACCTGGTGATGGATTCCACTGGTCGGGACTGCTGACTAGAACTCCAGGAAACTTCATCGTGTAGCCAGTCCGTCACTCACTACCTGGAAGAAAAATATACAGAAATGCACTAGATTGGATTGTCAAAACCCAGAAGTGCCGTGTCGATAAGAACTTACACTTCAAAATGATAGTAGTATGATTAGTTTGGATATGTTTGACACTAGTAATAAGAATCTAGGAGAAGTACTTCCGGTTGAGCATTTATCGAAAGATGATCATTAGTTTCTTTTAATTGGTGCACGTTATTCCAAACTAAATGTTACTGGATTTAACTAAATCAATATTTAATTATTATGCGTTTACTCTGTATCGTATTACCTGATTTCTTATAATAATTGATTATTAATGTATGCTTTCGTCTCACTGTGGTATTAAACACATATAATTACTGTAAAATGTTTCGTGTTATGATGTAATTATGCTGAAATTGGAAAATCTCTTATCACACCTTGTGTGATGTTTATCTACTAATTGGTTAATGCTGCATAAACTACTGATATTTCTAATTCAGTAGACAAAACTCTGCGTATAATTTTAACATGTATCCTTTTTACATTACTTTTATCCTTTTTGGTGGTTCTAGTTGAAGAGTCCTGTTTCATATGCTGTTTATTTCCAATCTCGCATCCCGGTTTAAATCAAAGCATGACATGTCTTCCTGTCATATTATCTCAGGATGAATATATATCACATTATGCAATGCATAAAAGAGGCGATTCAGACTTTTATAATAAGTCATATTCACTGATACGTTATTCAAAGCGAGCTGTATACTCTGTTCATACATTCTCACCATTTTTATCATCTAGTGTACTACATTTGTATAGCAAGTATTTATCCAATAGTACATATCATTTTACACGTAATCAGACTAAAATACTCTCTACAAGTCAATTGACGACGACGACAGCAAATCAAGTTTCCTACAATCATCATCATCATCGTAATCCACGTTTAGTGCATATTCATCTACAGGATTATCGACCGTGTCATTATGGTTATTGTATGTCGGGAAAATGTGTTGAATCAAGAAGTAAGAGAATACTGAGGTTTTGGACACCAGTTCATTATTCAAGACAAAAAAATTTCGGTAAGTATTAATTATTGTTAAGATGTATGAATTCGTTGATGCTACTGCTATTTGTCATGAAAATTATGCATTAATAATGATTATGGTTGTGCTCTGCTAGTCTGAAAATTTTTTACTTACATCCAAATGAATTATGAGTTCAACTCTCAATGAAACTGTCTTTTATTCCTTTGAGTTCCGAGTGGAATATAGGGCTTCAGCTTACTCGGTAGGGCTGCTAGCTTCCCGTCTAATAATAATAGTAATCTACTTTGTTCCAAAAACAGTGCTTTTAATACAGAATGGAATTCTCAGCATTTGTCACAATATTGCATCTGATTTACTCAAACCTCCCTTCTTGGTTGGGCTTACAACTGACTAGAGGAGGTAAAGATATGCGCCGGCTGGGAATCAAACCGTGGTCCTTATGCATTGTTGGTGAGCATGATTGGCTGGCCGACTGACTGGTTTCAACAAAAATGTTTGCAATACGACCCCAACTGGGATTCGAACCCAGGACCTTCCGGTTACATTCAGTCACTGGGACCCGATTCAATGACTCATGAATTCTAACTTCTACCAATTCGTGACTTAGCGCGACCTCAACCATTGTCGTTGGTGGGTCATCCATCCACACACTTGACATCTAATTGGACCTCACTGGTCACGACTTCTCACTAGAACTCCAGGAAACTCCATCCTGTAGCAAGTCACTAACGAGCGTACTACCTGTGATTCCCAAACTAGGATGAAACAGCTGTCCAGTACTCCCTGGTTATCAATGGTTCTCTAACCGATATCAGTCCGTGATCAACTCGTAAAAGGATAACTAATCCTTACAAACCAAACTATAGAAAAAAAGTTTGCACCGATATGTGACAGTTCGAGTTACCCCACTTCACTTAGCACACAAAGCAAGAGAAGAAAGTAAAAAGAGATTCAAAACAGAGATATGAGAGATAAAAGAATAGTAATATGGAAGAACAATATAGTTTTTTTTGGATATTATAAGTCACAAGGAGTGAATGCATTGAGAACGATTTTGAGCCATATCACCAATTGTCTCAAGCCTTCATTGATTTTTTACCATTCCGAGGACCCCAAACAGTTAGGAAGTATGCACCTCCCTACTTAGCTAGCTTAAACTAACTGTTGTGGACTTCATTGACTTATGAAGCCATGTTTTGGTTTGACCACCAATGGCTCTTTTCCAACCTTATCGGTCCTATGTCAGCTAGTATTGCCCATCGAGGAAGGTGATGCCTAGGCCCAAATACGTAACACATATCGTAACCATCTCACTTGGTGTAACTTCACAGCCTTGTCTGTTGATTTCCCCTCCCACTTACCTAGCACTCGATCGAAGCCTAACCTCAATATCGGTGAGCATCCTATCGCTGAACCACCGACGCACTGAGATTTCATCTAGATTTTAGGTAGTCAAGTTGTATCGACAGCCCTTACACAACAGGTTTTAGATATACATGGTTTCAATCCAATAAATATATTTTCACTTAGCAGTAAGTTAGAGAATGTGTCCTAGTGTTCTGACCACTTTATATCTCCTTATGAACTTCCCTGGTTAATAACTATCAGCCAGAGTTCCCCTCAGTTTCCTTTCTTCATCTTTAAGTGTATTCTCCATGCATAGTCATTGAATCCTATTAAAGAGGCGCCCCACCAAGGAAGGCTATTTTGTACAGAACAGGAGAGAAGCTATGGTAATTAAGATACTGTCTTGTCCAGATAGGTTTTCTGTAAATCGGTCTTTGTATCTATCCATCTGGCCGTCGACAAAGCAATATATCTAGGAAAGATAAGCAATTATCAACTTCCTGTCTTCTACAGACGTAAGTAATATGTATTATTTTGCACTGAATGCATTCGACGTCAAATTGATGTAGCAGAACAAGGATTATCACTTATGATTAAAATGTTTTGAGCAGGCGGTACATTTGTAAATAAAGAGTTCACATTGAAAGAATACATATTCTTATCTTTTAATATTAATACCATCAAGGTGATTAATCAGTTCAAATATGCAAAAGAGCCTTGGCGAGGTGCCTCTTCAGTAGAATTTAACAAATATGCACAGAAGACACACTTGAAGATGACGAAAGAAAACTAACATTAACTCTGATTAGTAATAGTTATCCAGAGAATTTCATAAGGAGATATAACGTGGTCAGAACGCCAAAACCCATTCTCTAACTCGCCGTTAAGAAAAACATATATGATCATAGGATCTTGGTAACTACACAAAGATTGAATGCTGCGGCTAAAACGACTTCTTATACAGCTAAGATCCGAATAATTGAGAATGTGATGCCTATATATCTATCTAAGCCCTAAAGATATGTGAAAAACGATGTCACGTCTCACTGTATCTACCAATTTAAATGTACGTGTGGTCACACATATATATAGGGAGGACTCATCGATCTTTACAAATAAGGACTTCAGAGCATATCCTTAAATGGCTTCGGAAGCAAATTGAATCCCCTGAATCAATCAATGGTGAAAACAGATGACCTAGCTCTTCTATTGTGAAACATATTATTGAGACAGGACATTAAACTGATGTTTACACTTCTTTTGAACCTATCTATATAACGTGTTTAGGGAGTATCCTAAAGTTTGTGGAAACCCTGGTGATTAGGAAGTTTAAAGTACATATATTCGTTCAAATAGAATTCGTTATCATATTAAGCCTTCCTTGGTTAGCTTTGTTCTGATACCAAGGCAGATGTATTATTATCATCTCCCTTCTCTGGTTTATTGATCTGCTTTGTTATTTTAACCTTCAATTATAGCCTTTCAACGTGACCTATATCTCATTCTCTCATTCCTTAACGTTTTATTATTTTCTCATGTATTCCTGTTGTAATAGGAGAAGACAAGAGACTCGGTGACGAACTTTTTATTACGGAAAAACATCATATTTATACATTTTTAGCCAAATTTAAGATCTGCTAGGTCAGCGGATAATAAACTGTTCTGATTGTTCAGTATAAAGTTGTCCAATGAGACTATTTCCTGACCACAATGTTCGAAACGTGTTGATCATATACTACATTACACGATTCACATAAATTACGCATTCTTATTGTTTTTAATCGAAATTCATAAAGAGAGATAATCGTTTCAAATAATAATTTAATAGTTAAACTAACATTGGTTTTGTTTTTTAATTTTGACTAATGAAATATTTTCTGTTTCAAATAGGTACTATTGTTTGGGACAACCTAACACTCTCCACAATCATTCTTTCTCTCATTTTATGGATACCATTGAGTGCATGTGTTGCATATTTAGTAAGTTCCACCATACTGTGTTCCTACAATACTTTAATTTCCCAATAGAAATAAGCTAATACGAGGTAAATGTGTGAGTACAATTCAAAAAGTTTTAGACTTATGATGCCATACTTCTCATATTGTTCACGCGAATTAGGAAGGTATCAATGCGTGAAGAGAGTAATGTGTACCATATGTAGAAAGATAGGTCAACCTCAAGTTCCCCCCTAACCCGTTTATCCAGCCTTAGATTATAATGTCTGATAAATTTCAATTTGAAATTCCCATAGCTTTATCAGTTGATACCTTATATTAGCTTGATTTTAAGTAGTATATTCATGGTTATTCGTGTCTCTGACTGCAGTATTCACTGGGTGATGTGGGTTCGAATCTCAGAGGGGATATGAGTTTCTTCAAGGTTGCAGATACGCCTTGTTGACTGACTGACGAGTGCCAGTAAGCACGAAATGTAGGTTTGGGCCTTCCTATCTATTGACTCCAACCACCTAATATATATGTATATTCTCAAGACTCAGTTTGTAGGGATTGTATGCATTTTCCGTTAGACCACGGATCGATATCAGTTAGAGAACCATTGAAAACCAGCAGGTAGCACTAGACAGCTGTTTCACCCTAGTTTGGGACTCATCGAAAGTACGCACCCACCTCCAGACTTCAAACCCAGGAGCTTCCGTTTACAAGGCGAGGTCGTAGACAAATTCAGCCACTGGGAACCAATTCAATAGCCCATGAATTCTAACTTCTACCCAAACTGTCCAGTACTCCCTGTGGGTTTTCAATCGTTGTCTAACTGATATCAATCCGTGGTGTAATCTGAAACGCACATATATATTTATATTTACTAGTATTGGTTTCGTAAGGACTTTGTTTGATTGCATGGAGGATTTCATCATGAGCTGACATCAGTTAGAGAACCACTGAAAAACTTGGGAGTACTGGACAGCAGTTTCGTCCTAGTTTGAGACTCTTCATCAGTGCACACCCACCGAGGTTCGAACCCAGGACCTTCTGGTCACAAGGCGAGCTCGTAGACAATTAAACCACTGGGACACGATCTAATGGCCAGCCAATGAATTCTAATTCCTGACAATTCATGACATAGCGCAACCATTTCGCAATGTCTTCCTCGATGAGTTACTGCCTCACCTTCAACCTCCAGTATCGTACTGTTCATGGCTTCCCCCTATAACCCCAGGTTAACTGCCTGAATAGGGCCAGTCGCTTGTGAGCATCAGATTAATTTTGAAGTATTGGTTTTGTGGGGATTTTTGTTTGATTGCATGGAGGATTTCATCATTAGCTGACACCAGTGGCTCAATGGTCTACGAGCTCGCCTTGTAACCAGGAGGTCCTGGGTTCGACCCCTGGGGTGGGTGAGTATTGCTGAAGAGTCCCAAAGTAGTACAAAACAGATGTCCAATTCTCCCAGCTGGTTTTCCAGTGGTTCTCTAACTGATGTCAGGTCATTACGAAATCCTCCATGTGATATATATATATATATATAATATGTGTTTATCATGTTCATAATTCTTACAGAATCGTTATCATCATTGAACCTCGGTAACCAACTGGTCCAGTGAAAATTGAAAAGTGCTCAATTTGAAAAACGCTGGATAACGGCTACGATAAACAAATATATATACATATGTACAATTTTCATCTTAACTTTTTGTTTGCTACATCTTGTTAACAGAAATTTTTACCTATTTTTTTGTATATTAATGTTTATTAATCTTATTGTAAAATTGCATTTCTTTTTTAAAAATTTCTTTTGATGATAATATTTTAAAATTTGAGTGATCATTTTGAAGGTTAGTCAATTTATCTAAAGAGAATAGCTGAATTTTTTTTTCGTGTAAATTAAAGGGTGGGAGTGAGTATTCAACAGGCTATTCTTTTTCTTCAATCTATTTTGATAACACTTGGGTGAATTTTGATGTACAAATGTTCACACAAACCGACTTGGTTTAGGTTATGAAATCTCGAAGAGATATTTTATTTCGACCTGGATATATATATATATCCTATATGTCTGACGTTGTTTTCAGTAGTATATCAACACATATCACACTCCTCTACCGCATTATTTTATTACATGTGTTACCGAAATTATTTATTGGAAGAGGAGCAAGGGAACCAGTGAGATTTGTGTATGTCATTGTTAGATGAAGCCACCCATCCCCGACATACACACAATTTTTAACCTTCCCATGTATCTGAATTTAGCCTTTAAAAAACACTAATATCTGTAGTAAGTTGTGTGATCTCCTTCTCATCCTCCTCCTCTTTTACTCCACCTATATGACTATTATTCATTTTTAATTCCCAGTGTTTATGATTTCGTCGTGAGAAAAGATGAGGTTTCCCAACTTTTTAACTCTTTTATATAAGAACAAGTAAAAAATTTTCATTGTTGAAACTATTATTCTGGCGTCTGTATTTTCTGCATACTTTTTTGTTAATGATTGCTAATTTGAACAATAGTTTTTTTATTTTAAAAGATTATTTGTTATTTGTTTGTTATTACTTTATGATTTTCTCTCATTAATTGCTTTCTGTATGTAATTAATATTTATGATGAATGATAATTAAGAATAAATGAAAAGTATTATTATTATTTATTATTGTTCATTTGGGTCCCGAGGGGAGCATAGGGCTTCGCACAGTACATCTCCACTTCGTCCTTTTTTCTGCGGTCCTCTTCAACTGGTTGGTTCCACGATTGTTCGTAATCTTTGATCTCCTTCGTGGCATCGTCGGATTCACAACGCACTCGTTGTTTCCCACTCGAGTCCGAGTGATGGCGCCTGGCGTGCAATGTCATTCAAAAGTCTTCTTAGCGTATGTCCAATCCATCTTCATTTTCTTCGTTTTATTTGTTGAACAATAGGTTCTTGATTCCTATAATTTCTTGTTACTGATTCTTTCTGGTCGGCGATTTGATCTTCAGTATGGAGCTAGTGAAGGCAGCTGTTGATGAAAGTCTGTAGTAACCTGTCGAAAAGGCTTTTCATTGCGCAAGCGCCAAGTTTTTTTATCCGTATAGAAGTAGTGACTGACTTTGTTGTTTATACTGAGTGCATCAGCTTCGCAATCGGATTTCCAATTCCGGTTTTGACATTTTCATCCGTTCCATATATAGTTGAAACGATGCTTCTTAGGTAAGTGAAAGAAATAACCTCTTCCACATTTCTCCTGTAGATAGTGGTTGGTTGGTTGGTTGTTATCTTCATCACCTCTGTCTTCGTAATGTTCACTTGAAGTCCTGTCTTTGTTGCTTTTTCTGCCAACTTGTTGATTTTCACCTGAAAGTTTTCGAATTTATGTGATAGTACACATAAATCATCCACGAAATCCAGACCTTCTAGAGTTTTCTTGTGGGTCTAGCAAAAAGTATATAACTTCTATACTTGTGTATTTTAGAAACTAGTATATTCATCTTCTTTTCTTTGGCTTTCAGAGAGGAACATAAGTAGGGCTTCAAAGTTTGGAGTTTCAGTTGCAGTGGTTTTTAGCTCCACAGTCAACCTTCTATCCTCTTTACCAGGCCTATTACCCGCTTGGTGAGGTTTAGGAATGATTCGGTCAGGAATCGAACCCTAGACCATGTGTGGAATGGTTGACGAGTATTCTACCACTGAACCACGGATGAAAATGTCTTCCAGTACCAGTGTGGTGAGAGCTGTCTACTAGCCAAATTGGTAGACAGTAATTTACGTCAATGTTTACGTTCCCAAGATTTGTCGTGAGAAAATGTGAACAAAGATTGATTCAAAACCGACCACAGCAGACTTTGCGTCGGCGGATGCAGTTAACATATAGAGGATTTGACATTCAAGAAACAGTCACAAATAGATGAAAGATTAGTTTTAAGTGAGAAACAACCAATCGGAAGACTGTGTTTGTTTGTTTAAATATCCATAGTAATGTACATGAAAATATATAAATATGCGTTGATTTCCTTAATAAATGATCTGTTGCCTGACTCTTGCCTTCTGTCGTTACACCAGTATGTACCTTCACTTTCACAGAAATTTCAATATTTATTGCATAAATGTTACTTTCGTACTGTATAATATATTTAATAAAGGAGTTAGTATACATCAAGGCTTTATTACTGATATTTCAGACCCATGAAGACAATCGCTCTTCTTTGTGTACAAGAGTAAAGCACAGTGGAGGTGAAAATATGTCAGTGGTTCTCTAATTGAAGTCAGTTCTTGATCAGACTTGAAATCAATCGAATCCATGTAAACCAGCACACTTGAAAATTAATCTAGCTCTGTCTAGTGATTTTTACAGGATGAAGTTGCTTGAATTTAGAGTGAGAAGTCGTAACCAGCAGGGTTCACTAGGTTGGGTGTGAGGTTACGATACTCGCCGGCAGAATTGGCAGAAGTTGGAATTTATAGGCTTTCGGATGCTATTCCAGTGGCTGAAAGGTCTACGAGCTCGCCATGTAACCGGAAGCTCCTGAGTTCGACCTGTAGCGATGAGTGCGCACTACTGAAGAGTCCCAAATAAGGACGACGAAACAGCTGTTCTCTAATTCCCTATCGGTTTTCAGTGATCCTATATGCTTAATTAGATCGTATTTAAAATTTTAATAAATTTCAGGTTGGTTTCATTTGTGCATGACAATGCGTTATTTTACAGTAAACGAGGAGTTCTTTCCTTAGAAAGCACGTACATGAGCATTTGATTATTCGGAAGTTAATCGTCATCATCAGAAGGGAGAATATGCAACAATCCAGATTATTCTAAAGAAATAGTTATTGCTTGTAGTTTTGCAATATGTCTTTTGCTATTCGCTCCCGCCAAATGTAAGATGATGCTACAGGACTGGACTATATTGAATCTTAGCTTAGAGATAGGGAGTGAAGAGGTTGGCGGAGCGTGTTGAGAAGCTGCATCAGCCACAACGTGTTGATCTCTGATGAAATCTCAGCATGGGTACAGGAGGCTCGTTTCACATATGCCAGTTTACGCCGTCTCTGGCGGAGACGTGATATCCGGCTGACTGTCGGCCAAAGGGCGTGTGTACTGCTCATCAGTCCGCTCCGTTCTCCTATATGGCTGTGAGCGAGACATGACGATTGAAAGTGGAAGACATGAAAAGGCCGATTAGTTGTCTTTGATCATAGGTGTCTGCGTTCTACCTCCCATGTTAGGCGGAATAATGGGGTGATCAATATTGAGATTAGACATCGATCGAGTGCTAGGTAAGTGGGAGGGGAAATCAATCGACGAGGACATCGAAGTATGCGCTGAAGATGTTGCTCAGTAGAGCAATGAAAGCTTCGCAACCAAACCATCCACCTCAGAGAACACAACCACACCAAAATCATCCACCTGAGCTACAAATCTTCTCTATTATATCTAAATCATAAGAGTAATACAGTTTTTTATAGATTTACTATTATCACCGATAATGAGTGTATCATCTACATAATGTTTATATAGCATAAATTATCCAAGCATACTTTGCATTTGTTTCTTCAATTTCGACCCAATAGGACTCCCCATCGCAACACCATCGATTTGTTTGTATGCCTTCTCTTGGAAGTTGAATCTAATATTTTTCTGTACATATTAAGATAATGTCTCTGATGCAAGTGACAGGAATAGGTAAGTTTATCCCATTGCTTGTGATGTAATCGCAAATGAAATCAACAGTTCCATTAAGAGGAACATTGGTGAATAAAGATTCTATATCGATTGAACACACTACCTTTTCCTTAATGTTCAAGGTGTCTAGAATATCTGTCAGATCAAATAAACTTTTTACAGAATGATTTCATAATGAGTCTCTTACAGGTGTAAGGACCTTTGTAATCCATTTCGCGATTTTATGGTATGGAGAATTCGATGGATTACTAGGCAGCTATATAGAGTGCACAGTGACGGTGGTCAAATAGCAAACCTGACTGGCAGAATTCAGTCTGCACCAAACAAAGGACTAGATACATGATACTAACTGGTGTCCGATTAAATTAGCAATACAGTCCTACGGGAGGTCAGTCGTCAGCCTGAATAGCCTATTGGCAACGTGTCTGACTGCAGTACTCACTGGGTTACACGGGTTCGAATTTCAGAAGGGACATGAGTTCCTTCGAGGTTGTAGTGCAGATATGCCTTGCTAACTGACTGATGAGTGCCAACAAGCCCGAAACCTAGGTTAAAGGTTCCCTACCGATTCTCTCCGATCACCTAATAATAATTATTGATATAAGTATAAAACTTGAGCACTGTGGTAGAGTATAACTCCATTATGGATAAGATTTTATTTTGATAAATCACAGTGTTATACAGTAACATATTAACTGATGACGTTTCGAGCAGAAACTATCAAATTACTCACACACAACTTTTTACTTCATTTATATACATATGTGGAATTGACTAGATATTTGAATAAAAGTCAATATAAGATAATGTACATTCAGAAATAATAAAATGAGTGTTACTGATCAATTACAATTAGATGGGAAATAAGACTAGTGTTTCTTATAGTCAAAATAAGCAACTTGTTAGAATGTTGTGATGTACCTGAATTGAAATAGAATTTTGAGATTATTTATTATCCTCCTTTCATTTGACTGACTGACTGGCGGTAATAATATCTTCCATATTTCTGGTATTTGCATTGAGTCATTTCTGTTGCATGTGTTGGGTGTAGACTGCATAAACCAGGAATCAGTAATCAACCTCTCTCTCCACCTACATAGATTATTTCTTGGAATCTCAACCCTCTCTCACCCTATTGTGTGGTTGTGTGTTAGTGCATGCAGTGCAATGCAGTGCTGAGTTTTTTCTAAATTATTTATCTTTGTGGGATCAATCATTCTAATCTTAGCCAAATTCTTATGTTCTGATAATCTCACTACTCCTGATCTACTAGTTTGACCTATGTAGTTGACTTAACTCAAAGCCATTACAAGGTATTTTGTAAATGATATTATTTTGTTTAATTGGGTTAACCTACTGGGTCCTTTAGCCTACAGAGCTTGTCTCTGCCTGAGTGAGTTTGTAGGTTTGAATGCCACCCTAATTCCTGCTTTTTTAAGAATCCTACGCAGGGTCTCAGATATCCCCTCCTTATATGGTATAACAGTAGATGACTT